TGACTGGCTCCTCCCCCTATCGTTGCTACAGCCGTTGCGGCTGTTGCGGCCGCTGTCTTTGCAAGAGTTGTATAGCGCTCGTCAAAATACTCAACCATGGCTGTCTTGATGAATCTAAACAGTTTCGACAACTCAGCTCGAAACATAACAGCAACCTCATCATGTAGGATATCACGAATCCTAGCATCTAACTCATCTGTACTCATCTGACTGATGAATTCGGGTGGTGTTGGTCCATCTTGATCACCCTCTCCTGATCCCGATCCCGAACCGGATCCTGCCTCGAAACGTCTCGCATCCGCCATGTTGAAATGAACCATAAGAACCTCAGATACTTCGTGTAACCGCCGTGAACTAACCTCTAACCAACAACTTAGGGGTTGTGACTTCCTTGACATGTGTATGGGTTCTGTGCTTTCAGTAGTACGGGCCCATACTACCTTCCACACCTACTCATATTTGTCTTAAGTATCACCACAACGCCCGAAGCACAAACATACATAGCAAGCACTCAATCCTCACCCCTAGAGGAATACCAAATATCTCATATCAAGAAAACCCTAGGCTATCAGGCATCGTAAATCAGGCAATTCTATCATACAATTCCTAAAGATCCCTAGCCTAGTACTAGCATGTTGTTCTATCATAACACATAAGCAAACAACTTGTATGGTATTTTGGGGTAACTTACTAGCTCTGGCTGATCGTACTCTTTGCGTCCTCTTTTACTTATTTTGAAAACCTTTTGAAAACTATTTTTGAAAATCTCTTCTTGATTTGAGACTGGATTCACATGAATGTTCCTCCAATTCACTCAAACTAAGGCTCTGATACCAACTTGTAACGACCAAAAATTTTCAACCAATTTAAAACATTTTATTTCATTCAAAACCATTAAGTCCATACATCTTGTTTTCAAAATATTTCAAACATCAGAGTATTTACCAGAACCATGTTGGATTAGTGTCTAAGTCCATAACTATTTTGGTATGTACTTGACCCGATGGTGCATGGCCCTTTTGGGTTGCCTTCACCAAAGCAACTTGATAGGATGATTTATGGAGAGTAAGGATTAAATATGATTTATTAATGTATTATGAGAATAATATATTAAAGGAGAAATCATATTGTTTAATTAATATTAGTCAATAATTAATTGGTAATTAGTTTTGTGACTAAAAGAGATTAATTAAACTTAAGGGACTGGAATTGTAATTATAGGATAATTGCAATTTGGGCCATGGATTGCCTTATATTAAGGGATGGACGAATTCTAATGGGAAACCCATAAGGAAATCGTCCATGGGCTTAATTAAAGGAGTCTACGGGTTGCTAAGGGCTTAAGCATCCAAATTAGGGTTTCCTTGTTAGATAACCCTAATAGCCCAACTATATAAAGACCCCTTAAGGCTCAAAAACGTGGCTAATGTTCTTGTAAGGGTTTACACATGTTTTTGGCAGCCTCCATCCTCTCTCCTCTTCATCCTCTTGCTTATGGTGTTTGTGAACCATTAGAGGAGTGACACTTGTGACTCTAAGCATTCCAAAGTCAATCCAAGGTGGAGTTGTGATTGTTATTGCTATATAACAATCAAGGTATGTTCTTAAACCTAATTATATGTTAATTTCAATTTCCATATGTTAGAATTAGGGTTTATAGTCTTGGATTCAAAGCATGTACAATAGAGAAACCTAGATCCAAGCATTAGGGTTTGTATGAGCACATAGGATGTCTTATGACCAAAACCCATCAAACCATATCATAAGAACGTAAAACATAAGGAGCGGTACGATCACATCTTCGCCTTGCCACGATCTCCTGAAGCACCAGAAACAATAAACCACAACTGTAGGCCCGAAAGCTTAGTGAGTTCCCCCAAAGTACCCATACACACATAATCATACGCATACAAAATAGAACAACATACTATGGGTCCAATCAACCTTCCGGTTGGAATACCCCTGGCCCTCAACCATCGGGTTGGAATACCTACATAATACAAGCCCAATCATCCTACCAGGATGGAATACTCTCGGCCCACAACCATCGGGTTGGAATGCCCATACACCTATACGTACAACAATAACTACTATAGGTCCAATCATCTCACAAGATGGAATACCCCAGGCCCCTCAACCATCGGGTTAGAATGCCAACATAATATGAGTCCAATCATCCTACTGGGATGGAATACTCCTGGCCCACAACCATCGGGTTGGAATGCCCCACTCCCTATACCTACAATAACTACTACTACTATGGGTCCAATCATCCCTCAGGATGGAATACCCTAGGCCCCTCAACCATCGGGTTGGAATGCCAACCTATTATAAGTCCAATCATCCTACCGGGATGGAATACTCCTGGCCTACAACCATCGGGTTGGAATGCCAACCTACTATGAGTCCAATCATCCTACCGGGATGGAATATTCCTAGCCCACAACCATCGAGTTGGAATTCCCCACACTAGCAAACATGCACACATAACAGGCAACCACTGAATACTCTACAGAACCAACATACTACGGCCCTATCATCCTACCGTGATGGAATACCCTCTGCTACTGCTCAACATACATAACCTGCAGGTAACCTCCTACCAGCGTACATAAGGCAAGACCAACTACAGGTCTATAAATAACCACTACCCAACTACCAGGGCGCTAATCCAACAGAACTAGCCATCACTTAACTATCCATTTCTCTAGGATACTAAGCTAACAAGGCATATCCTCATATCATTATCCTATCTACCAGGATACTAGCAAGCATATCAACACATAACTTAACAAGCTCTAAACAACAATTCAAAGGGTCAGCCTTGGTGCTTTAGACCCTTGAGTACAGTGAGGATAATGTTGCGTTTTGAGCATTCTAACACTCCTAAGTGTACATGCAACCCTAAATACCTTGGATCTATGTTTTCTCTATTATACATGCAAATATGAACTTTCCAAGGTATTCATCCTAACTAGCATAATAACATTGATTCATATGAATGTATGGAGTTAGAATTACATACCTCTTTGATGTAGAATGTCTTCATGAAGCTTAAGTGCCTAGTGCCCCACTTGTGTCACCTTAAATGGTTCACACAACACCAAATGCACATGGAAGGACTTGAGAGAACATACGCACTTCATGAAATCAGCTAGCCCTTCATTCTGACTCATAGTGGCCGATTTCTTGAGCCATGGGAATCTTTTATATGGTGGCTATTATGGTTACACCATGTAACTCATAACTTTACCCATTCCTTATGCTCCATGGATTTTAACCTCCATGGAGTATCCATGGGTCACCCCATGGACTTAGTCTAACATAAGGAATCTTGGATCACATGCCCACATATATAAGAATGAATGATTTACACAATCAACCCATATATTTAATTAGTCTCCTTTTTATCACTTAATTAATTCCAAATTAATTCTTAATCAATACTAATTAAATAACCTTATTAATATATTAGAACTTATAATATATTAACAAACCTTAAGAGTTATTTCTCTCATTATAGTCTATCCAAATGCATGATGCCATGTAACCCAAATGGACCATGCCGAGTTGGGTCAAGTCTTACCAATTATAGTTATGGACTTAGACATTAATCCAATAGATAACTCACCTGAAATGAAGAACCGAACCACGGAAGCACACACCCAAAGCACTGCTCCAAACTCCAACACATGTTGCCATCAATGGACCATTGACATAAATAACCAATCACCATAACACCCTTGGAGGTCAAAGTAAAAGTCCAAGCCAAAGTCAAACTTCCTGACTGACCCTACTCGCCGAGTCAACTCGTTGACTCGTCGAGTCCTTAAACTCTGAAAATTCTTAGTACACGACTCAACTCGCCGATTCACCCCAAGACTCGTCAAGTCCAACGATCTCCAAGTCCCATCCTTCTTAACTCACAGAGTCACCCCTCGACTCACTAATTCAAGGCTTTAAACATAAGAGGTTAGGGTTCCGTGACCAGACTCGCCGAGTCCAAGAACAGACTCGACGAGTCCAAGCCAATCTTTAACAGACTCGCCGAGTTGTTCTTCCAACTCGCCGAGTCCATGCTCATGTTCATACAACTTGTCGAGTACGCCCATGTGACTCGCCGAGTCTCTCTAGTTCTCAATCCATATAGTGGCTATTCGAGCCATGCAGGGGCTCCAATTCATAGATCAACTCTTCTACAGTCTAACCCTCACATAAAGTTGCAAACTTTATGTGAAACCAAGGAGCTATAGGCCCAAAACACGCTAGGGCTAGGGTTTATCTCACAGGGGCTTCACCAACAACTTTTAGACAGAAGCTTTATGACATTTTGGACCATCACAAGTCTAGATATGAAGTAGCAACCTCAGATCTAAGCCTCTAACTCGAAATAGCTCTCAATCATACCAAAAATGCCCCAAATCTCAATTGATAATAGATCTAGATGTAAAAGAGACCAAGCAACATATTATTACCTCCAATATAAACTCCAACTGAAGTAGATCCCAGATCTACACCACTCCTTTGCAGCAAGCCTCTTGATCTTCAAGCCCCTTTCCAAGATTTTCTCCTCCAAAGCTCTTTTCTCTCTATTAATGGAAGCTCACTCGATTCTAGGGTTTCTGGATCTCAAAAGGGTAGCAAAGAGGCTGAGGGTGGGTTATAATGTGATTTATGTAGGGCACAACCCCCAGGATTAGGGTTTTCTCTCTTCAGCACCAACTCATCGAGTCCAAGCCACCGACTCGGCGAGTTGACCACTTACCGCAACAGAATCCCGCTTCGACTCGGCGATTAAGCGTACCTACTCGTCGAGTCCATTTCCTAAATTTACACTTTTGGTCCATCATTAAACATTTGAAATTTGGGGTGTTACAACTGTATAGTTGTACAACATGGTTTTTAACTACTTTGGATCCTTAAAACTCATTCTAAGCATGAATTTTTTTTCCTAGTGTAATCTCATTAAAAATGGAATGAACCTGTATGGTAGGTTGAATTCACATCCCTTTATCATCATCTTCAATGTTGTTTTCCTCCTCTTCCACCCCTTCAACACACAATTTACTTAAGAAAAGATCTTTGGCTATTTTGTTCATAATGATAGCATCCTCATCATTTTCTACCTTGACATCCCTAAGATTATCTATGTTTTCACCATTTTTCACACCATCAACACAAGAATCATTATCATCATATGGATTATGTTCATCATTAAACCACCACTCAATTCCATCGCTAACGTGGTCCACATAAACATAAATTTTGCCATCTGTACCATAAGCATAAAAAATAAAACTATCATAATCTATATTCTATGAAATATGATGAATGTCATCAATTAAAAATTTATCTTGGTTCATAGAAGTAAAGGTTTTTTACTTTCTTCATGCATGAAACATAATAAGTAAGTGACACACTCATAATATGTCATATCAGAAAAATCTACACCATTGAATGTGCTTTTCATACCCTAAAAGCAAGAGAAATGATTACAAGTAGATACACATTGGTAATTGAGTTCTACCATCGCAAACAACCCTTTAGGGTTTGGTTGTTTCATTTCTTCTACCACCTTGGTTCTCCAAGTCGATCATAAGCAGTAGTAACGCTCTCGTAAGCAACTATGAAAAACCCTAACTGTTGATTTGCGTTTACTTTTTGCACTTTTGTATGTGCCTCGACAAAGGATATGACTTGAAGTAAGAAAGAGTTGGGTTAAGTACCTCATTTAATATGAAGCAAATTATTTGACAACTCGTTAATAATTTGAAGTGAAATAAATTCCACATATGGTCTGTTACCGGCTAAATCATAAAAGGTCAAATTGGCTTAACTTTTTTTTTTTGGGGGGGGGGGGGGGGTGGGGGGAGGGGGGAAAGGGGGACGGTAAATCTAAGGTGGTGTTTTTTTTTATCCGCAGATCTTCTTGGGCTATTCTGTCTGCATGACGCAGACCACGTGCAGACATTAGCATTCGCAGACTGTTTGTTTTTTTGAAGACTACAAACCTAAAAATGTCTGCGCTTCCTCTTCTTGGCGCAGATGTGGACCAGAATCTTCTAACATTTTCAGACATCTTCTAGCCTAAAAAAACACATATACTTTTTTTTTAGTTTTTTTAAATTTATATTTATTCCAACTTTATTAGTGATAAGCAATTTGAAAAAAAAAAAGTTCGACAACACAAACATGATATTTTTGACAAATGTTTAAATAAAAATTTATTACAATAATGGTCGTTGAAGTTGTTTATATATATATATATATATATATATATATATATATATATATATATATATATATATATATATATATATACGTGCTCTGCAGACTGCAGACATTTTGCTTCAGAAAAAACAAACAACACCTAATATATTCCTATAAACTACTTCTAATTTCACGTATGTTTCCAACAAGATTTGAACCTCCGACCTTAAAGAAGGATACAAACAACAGATATTGTTGGGCTAGAAACCCTTTGGTCAAAATGGGTTAATTGACAGGTATTTTGTAACTTAAATGACTTATTGTGCAAACAAATAATAGTCAAATCGAAACCTAACATTTTATGCTACAAAACATTTTCCTAAGAATTTATGGTATTAGTGGCCAAGGTACCTTGTTTTATTTTGCACACATTTGACAATGAATTTATGGTATTACAAGGTTGCTTGTTTTATTTGGTAGACATTTGAGAATAGCGATGGGCCAAAACCACAAATTAAGTCTTTAATTAAGCAAATGAATTAGGGAAAGGGCCAAAAGGTGAAAGGAGTATCATATATCAAGTTTAGAACCAACTTTGTAATTTGTTGACGCTTTTGGACCTATTAAGGTTTAGCCAATAGGTCCATTAAATTATTCCTAGACTATATACTAAAAGCCCATTAGTTTTTTAGATACACAATTTATTAAGCTTCACTAGGTTAAAACTCGTAGAATCCACGGGTAGGGATGAACAAATGGACCGAACCGGTCAGAACCGGATCCGACCCGGGAACCGGTTTCGGCCAAAATCAAGAACCGAACCGGCCCGACGGTTCTACCGGTTCCTGGTTCCTACCGGTTCTTGTCGTGTCTTGAAATGTTGGAACCGATCCTCGAAAAATAACATCATACGGTTCCGATTTTTGCCGGTTCTATCGGTTCCGGTTCCTACCGGCTACCGGTTCCCGAGATTTGAGGCTGATTGAAAATTTAGAAGATAGATTACTGATTTTTTGTGATTTATTGAAATATGAAATATGAAATTCAAGAACATAAAAGGCCAGAACGATAATTTCGGAATATCACTTTAATAGACTGGGCGGGAAAATAAGGTGGAAAGGGGCGTAAGGAGAAGCCACGTAGCAATATAGATACTTATTTATTAGGATGTGAGATTAGTCAAAGAGTTTGATACAAGATTTTCTACGGAACTTTTTGAATTTTCCAATTTGGAGTAGTTGTTAAGTATTTTGTATGATCTCGGGTGCATTTTCTATTTTCATAATAAGTTAATAATTAGCATTTAGGCAATTAGGGGTGTGAGGGAACCCCATTCAGACTACAGATAATATGTTAATTTCGTTAAGAATATTTGAATAACTAGTTGTGAGATCCATGTGTTATATTGATTGATTTAAAAATACAAAAAATAAATATAAATGTCAAAATATTTGAAAACTTTGAATTTATAAGAAAATAAAAAAAAATAATGAATTATTATATTGGAAATGTTTTTTATCTTTTAAATTTAAATAAATAATTAAAATAAATAAACAAAAAAACTAAAAAGCTTTAATTTTGAAAATGTAATTCATTAACCACATTGATATCCATTTATTACTACATTTATCGCAATTATTACATTAAAACATTATATGTGAAATTTAAAAAAAATAGAAAAAGTTATAAAATAATATGTGAAAAAAAAATTAATTCAAAATAACCACAAAATAATATTTGGCAAATTAAATAAGAGTCCACAAAAAAAAAACCTACATTTATTAGAGTATATGATATAATATTAGAATTCTTTTTTACTAATTACAAAAGACTTTCAGAATTATAACAAACTGACAATAATATTGTGCTAAAAACTACTAATGAAAAATAAGTAATATCTGACATAAAAACTTGTGTCTATTTATTTTTAAATTGATAAATTTACTTTCAGTTATATATAATCTCTAATTGTCAAACTAATTATATTAGAAAGCTTATGCTAAAAAACTAGTAAAATAGGCGGAATTAGTCAAAAACCAAAGTGTATTCAAGTTGTTGCAACCTCTTAAGTTAAAATATTTTGAAGAAAAATGTTAGATAATTATTCTAATCATATTGTAATCGAAATCATATTTAATACATCAATTATTTCTAAATATATAAAAATAAAAACGTAAGTCTTCACAAATCATTTTAAATTGTTTTAACTCATGTTTAAAAATTATATATTTTAATATATATTCATTTTGATCCATTATCCATCAAATTTTTTATAGCCTGTTGTTTTTATTTTATAGTCTATTGTTTTTGTTATTTGACAGCAAGTAGAATCGAACATAAATCTAGTGGTTGAGTCTTGAGTGTGAGAGGATAGTTTAAAGGCAATTATTATAGGGAAATCTTCAGAAAAGTCTCAATATTTACGGAAAAGTTACACTTTAGTCCCAAGATTTTTTTTTTGAACGAAAAAGTCCTGAAAACCGGCAAAAATTTGCAGTTTGACCCTTTTTGACCGGTTGAAACCGGTACCAAACTAATTTGGGACTATTTCGTAAACTAATCCAAAATATTGGGATTTTTCAGTAAACAAAAAATATTAGGACTTTTCTGTAAACAAAAATATTAGGACTATTCTATAAACAAAACCTTAATTATTATTATTGTTATTATTATAATTATTATTATTATTATTATTATTATTATTATTATCATCATCATCATCATCATCATCATCATCATCATCATCATCATCATCATCATCATCATCATTATTATTATTATTATTATTATTATTATTATTATTATATAAATAAGAATACTTTTTTTTGAACTTGTTATTATTAATATTGTTACTAATACATATAAATGTATTTAAATGAAAAAATAATATTAATGACATTGTTTAAGGGTGGAGGTGGAGGAGATGTTGCTGCCTTTAGCATTGAAATCATGCATGTTTGCTTGTATATTTTTACTTTTTATATGGCCATTTCACATTTGTTGTTATTGTTTTCAATTAAAAATAATAATACTTAACAATTTAAAAGAAGTTGCATATTTGTAAAATTCTTTATAAATAGTTTAAGTTAGAAGGATTTCTCACTTTGTATATAAAAATGTTTACAGTAGAAGGATTATTTTCCAAATCCAACAGATCCACTACAAACATCTACATAGGTAGCCCATATCAAAATTCAAAAATATTAATTACAATATCTTGTTCAATAAAAAGTAATAGGACATGTTTTTTGGATTAATACTTTTGAATTTTGAATAATACTTTTGAATTATTCCTATTACTTTTTGTTAAACAAAATATTGTAATTAATACTTTCGAATTTTAATATAGGTTACTTATGTAGATGTTTGTAGTGGATTTGTTGGATTTGGAAAGTAATTCTTCAACCTTAAACAATTTTATATACAAAATGAGAAACTCTACTACCTTAAACTATTAATATGCAACTTCTTTCAAATTGTTAAATATTAATATTCTGAATTGAAAACAATAATAACAAATATGAAATGACCATATACAAAGTAAAAATATACAAGTAGACATTCACGATTTCAATACTAAAAACATCACCATCTCCTCCACCTCCACCCTTAAACAATGTTATTAATAATATTTTTTTCATTTAATGCATTTATATGTATTAGTAATAATATTAAAAATAACAAGTTCAAAAAATAGTATTCTTATTTATATTTTTAATAATAATAATAATAATAATAATAATAATAATAATAATAATAATAATAACAATAATAATAATTAAGGTTTTGTTTATAGAAAAGTCATAATATTTTTGTTTACAGAAAAGTCCTAATATTTTTTGTTTACTGAAAAATCCCAATATTTTGGATTAGTTTACGAAATAGTCCCAAATTAGTTTGGTACCGGTTTCAACCGGTCAAAAAGGATCAAACTGCAAATTTTTGCCGGTTTTCAGGACTTTTTCGTTCAAAAAAAAAATCTTGGGACTAAAGTGTAACTTTTCCGTAAATATTGGGACTTTTCTGAAGATTTCCCATTATTATACTTATTCATGATTCCACATTTCCACATAATAATTTATTCAACATGTTAATATTGAATTTTGAACTTCTTCAACATTTCAAGATTCCTTATTCTTGGACCAAAGTTATGATTATTTATATTTTTGCCCCGTAGCTAACCACCTCAACCAAAAGTTATAAAAATGAACAGACAGTGAAAATATAAACGAAGAAATGTATTACGAATGATACTTCTTATCAACCGACAATGACATAATTTCTTTTTTCTTTTTTTCATAATCGTCTCGATTTATTCTTGATTGTGTAATGTCTATGGGCCTTTAATATCTG